GAGTTTTTTTTTTTTTTTTTTTTTTTGAACTGGAGACAAAGCGGCGGTTTTCAAATGGAAGAGTATTATAAAATTAAAAAACGGATATATTTTCAATTAATTAAAAAAAGGTAATAATAATCGGGAGCGGCTCGTGTGTACTGTAATCCGACGGGAAAAAAGGTGTTCGGTAATTGACGAGCCCATTTGTAGTGGGCTGTGGGGCCCGCCGGGTTAGGATCGCACGGGTTGGATGTTTTGAACGTTACCCTTTTTTTTTATTTTTTTATTTTTTTTTTCCAAATGAACTCATATTGTTGATGGCTCTCTTAGGCAATCTTCTTGGTGACATGATGAGCTATAATTGACTTCAAGAAATATTAGGTCAACCACGTGGCTAACAGGGAAGATCATAAAAACAAGAAAAATGATGAGGTCGATGTTTTAGTGGTCGTTTGGTTAATGGATTCAAAATCATGATTCAGAATTATTATCGTTTTACGTGTATTTTTTGTGAGAGAAAAACAAGAAAAATACTGTAGAGAACCATGAATCATGATTCAGAATCATGAAAGAATATAAGAAACAAACATCACCTTAGATAAAAAGGGACAGCTAAACACAAAGTCGAATACTTTAGTCAATCATATTCATGACGGCCTATTTTGTTTGAAAATATTGTACAAATGTTTGGTAGAGGGATTCGTTCCCTGATTCGAATCATGATTCATGGTTCGCTACAGTATTTTCTCTCACAAAAAATTCACGTAAATCGAAAATAGTTCGAATCACATGATTTAAATCCTCTAACCAAACGTTAGATTGGCCATATTCACCTCGGCTTAGATAAAGTATGCCTAAACAACTTGGCCTATATGGAAAATATGCTAAAATCAGCACGAATCCAGTCTAGCAAATGAACAACCATGTAGTAATACATAATTTACGGATTATCTTTAAAAAACTATCTTAATTCGAATTTGAGCAAATGAAAAAGTTCATCTGCATGTCACAAAAATAAGGACGATTCAAAGAAATTAGAGACAATCTTCTCATTTAATTCAAATAATTTGTATTTATCACTTAGAGGGCTATGAATAGAGGTCTACCCCTCACCGGGAGGGGGAAGAAGTCCAATTTTTGACATTAGTCTTGAGTGCTCTTCTAATTCTCTTTTGGGGAAAGAATACAAATATTACTTAAAAGAGCATGCGTCAGAATTTCTACCTCTTATTATTAATTAATGATATTTTTAATTAAGAATGAGAGATAAAAATTTAAACTTACACACTCTTACGGATAAATTTTACAATTTTCTCTTCTCTCTTTCTTTTTTATAGTAAAATTTCTTCATCCCAAGAAACCACAAGTAGACGTAACCTCCAATTAAGATGAACTATTATAAATTTATGTGTTTTTTTTTTTTTTTTTTTTTGCTTTCTTTTAATTTTTTTCTTATCAAGATACATTAACGTGTGTGAATTAATATGGGGTGAGGGGTCATCAAAAGTTTATTTGTCGGACGAGCTTTGATCCTCAACACGTATGATAATTGATACGCTCTTCGCAAGATTTTAATTTTCATTTATCCTGATTATTAAAGGCACTTTCCATGAAAATTTCCACACAAAAAATAATAATTATAGTGAATGTCGAAAGGAAAAAAAAAAATTGCCTTGATGAAATGGCCATAACCTCGTTAAAAAATGGCCATAACCTCGTTAAAAACTTCATGGATAGTATCGAATTGATAGGAATGCATAATGAAATTTAATGCTAATAAAATTAAGTGGTGTTTTTCTTAGGAAAAAAAGTTTTAAAGAAACAAAGAGGGATGTGTTATAAGACCTCGAACGTTAATGGGTTAAGAGTAAATGTACCGAGAAAGTTTTAGATTTACTTTGCCATGGGCCTTTTCCTCTAGGTTCAAGTACACTCGTCATCAAAGAAAACTTTTCATTCACTAATTTCGGTATCTCTCTAGTGCTGGTGAAAAAATTTAGCATGATTTTGGAAACAAAAAAGTTAATACACAAAAAAGAGCCCCCAAGAATTTAACATGAATCTAAGAGCAACGAGCACAGAAGATAGAAGTGGGCAATAAATAGAGTCAAAAAGAGATCTTTCCGAATTCAAAACAACCAAATATCAAAAAGGATTGTTTCACAAAGTACATCAACAACTAACAAAGAAGAAACACCTGTTTCCAAGTAAACCCATCTACGGAAATGAATTTAAGACCTAGGCTTCTCCTTCTTCTCCTTGAAGAGAGCAAGTAGAGAGACTCCAGAGACCTTCACAACCTTAAACCTAACTCCAGGAATATCTCCCACAGCGTGACCCTTTCTTCCAAATCCAGCAATCAACACCTCATCCTAAATCCACAAAAAACATTACATTTTTAAGACTTTATTACAAAAGTATAAACAAATAGGCTTAGACAAAGCTAGAAAGTAGAAATATATCCAAGGACATAGAAAAAAAAGGGGGGGTACTTACATTTTCTTCAATGTAGTTCAAGCAACCATCATTGGGGACAAAAGCCGCAATCTTCTTGCCGTTTTTAATCAGCTGAACTCTAGCACATTTTCTAATGGCAGAGTTTGGCTGCTTAGCCTCAATGCCTCTGCAAATCATTGTTACTTTAAGTCAGAACGCATCACATGTGGTAATACATTAGAGAACACAAAATCCATGCATCTCAATTCTTACATCTTCTCAAGGACAATGCCCTTTGCGTGAGAAGAACCGGCGAATGGCTTCTTCCATTCATTACCGAGGTGAGACTTCTTGTATGCCTTGTCGGCCCACCTTTGCCTTCTGCGATGGGACTTCAGCTTGCGACCAGCTCCCAAACCACGTGTCTTCCTGAAAGGCAAATTATAGATCAGTCAAGATTTAAACTGGAAAATTAATCATGCCACAACCATAATGTAGACAAGACGCCAAACGTAGAAAAGTGAAGAATTCAAACTATTTCAAGTTCTTATTTGCTTATTTGCATTTCTTTCCGAACCCATTATCACAGATTGACATACAAACTGATTAGCATCGACGAATTGAAAAAAATTCTCACACATTTCCCTCCCTCCTTTTATAATTTAATAAATAATAACCACGTGGGGAAAAATAATAACACAGGGAAGGAACATAATCTGAAGAGTCCACTTTGTTAAAATTATTCAATTTAGTACCATAATCTGATTAATCAACCAAGTACCGCAAATATTTCATCAAATTAACTTCCTTTTTGTTCATATAACAAACAAATTCTACTTTTTCTTCCACACCCCAATATTGCTTAAATACCATGACGTAATAACGATTAGAGCCATTATCCTTCAACAAAAATCTGTCAAACACCAGAATCCAATGAATTAACACAAGTAAAATAAACTTTCTTTCTCATAAATTTATGCACCAAATCAAGGTGGAACCATCAAATTCTATCATTTCTAGTCCGAAATCTCAAAAGTCCGGGAAAAAATTGTCCCTTTTAACAGGTGAAATTGATTAACTTTTAGCTGTATTAAGAGGTACTTATGAAACGAAAAAAAAAAAGTACAATCAGATCTCATACTAAACCATAATAATTTCTTGACCAGACCATAACTCTCAAAGGAGTAAATACTCATTTCGATGCGACATCAAATTAAGGAACCGCGTATTGGAATCTCAAACTCAAGAATTTTCTACTAAGAACGGCGTTTCAGAAAATTATTCTAGGAAATGAAATCGAAAATCGAAAATATGAAGTAAATATTTTGTGAAAAAAGGCGAGAAATGTGAATCGGAAGTTATTCATACCCCATGATTGCAGAGAAAAGGAGCTTCGACTGATACGAGGGTTTCGGAAGCTTGAAGATGTGGAAGATGAAGAGGAGGCAGCCGCTGATAAACCCTAACTTTTCCCAACCTGAATTTTGTGCGTATATATAGGTCGTCGGAGGCTGCGATTTGGGCTAATGTGTTGGGTCCAAATGGGCCGGCATTCCAGGTAATTAGGTGAAATAATCAGTTTTTAACTCCATATTTAGAATATATCTTTAATTAAATAATATTATCTATTTTTCTATTTTATAGTTATTAAGATATTATCATTGTAAATATATCTTTTTTGTGTGAGTGATTATGAATTTGTATAATTAATTTTAAAAGTGATTAACAAAATATAGAAATGTCATTACATATTATTTTACAAACTTATGTGCAATATAATAACTTATGGAACATTCTTTTTTCATCTATTGTATAATAGGCGTATATATAATTATTTGGAATAAAATCATTTTGATATTATGTATTATAAGGAAACATGCTCTTAGTATCTCGTGTTTTTTATAATATTAAAATAGTACTTTTGAGTTTTATAAAACATCTTCTAAGTACCCTAAAACCAATTTATTAAGACATCAAATGTCATTTCTGCTTCCTCATTAATTAAATAGAAACTAATAATGTTTTTAAAAAAATTTAAAAATAATTTAAAACATTTAACAAACTAAAAAATAAATAATAAAGACGGTTCTTTTTCTTCTCAATCGAAGAAGCTTCCCCCCAGGTTCAGCTACCACGTGGTCGCGAGGAGGTGCGAATCTGGGTTTGTGAGTGCTTGACGGGCTCTGCATTTGTGAGGCAGGAGACGATCTGGGTTTGCCGGAGGTTGCAGGAGACGATCTGGGTTCATGGGTGCTTGTCCTCTTCAGCTACCATGTTGTTCTTTGAATATTTTGTTTGTTTTATGCACTTGTAGTAACAGGAGGAAGATAGTGTTGTTGATTTCTCATAATATTAAAGTTTTATTTGAGTTTTTAATTTAAGTTAGATTTAATTTTATATGAGAATTTTTAACTGTAACAAAAAAAGTTAAATGTGACTTTTTGTAAAAACTTTTAACAGTAATAAAATTAAAATTAAAAAATCAAATCGGTAAAATAAACGATACCTAAATTTCTTTAAATTTAGGTTTTTAGTGAAGAAGATGGAGACGAGTTTTCTATTTTTCATATTAATGTCCTGTTCATTTCACCGATTCGAATTTAAAATTTGAATTTTATTACAGTAAAAAACTCTCAAAAACAGTCACATCTAATTTTTGTTACAGTAAAAAATTCTCACATAAAATCACAAAATTTAAAACTCGAATCAACGAACTAAACATGCTATAAATTTATTTTCGTTTGAGTTTTAGGCGGAGAATAAGAAAAAAGTTTCTAATTAAAAGTTTAAAAAAATATATTTTCAGAGTTTCATAAATTTTAGTTTTTAATTAATTAAATAGAAGTGTAGATATGATATTTTACATCTAAAAAATTAGACTCGGAGTAGTTAGAAGATGTTTTATAAAATTTGAATGTACTATTTTAATATTATTAAAAATATAAGTTATTAAGACCATGTTTTACTATAATACAAGATACTTTATTCCTACTTATTTAGATATGTTAATAAAAAAAAATAAAAAAATAAAAAAACCATCTTGGACAATAGAGAAGCAAACAACAGAAAAGGACATCATATCTAATTATTATACACCATGGAAATTGGCAAAAGTGGTACACATATTATGAGTCTTGTTGAAATCACAATCTCAAATACAAGAACTAAAAACTGCTTCTTTCTGTTTCCACATAATTCCCTTGATGGGGAGCAATTCTAAAAAAGATAACCAAATACACTATCCTTTGCCATTTCTCTCCCAAGTCCAAAGCAAAATACATAACACCTCCTCTATACAATCTGCAAAATGAGCTTAGTTTTTTTTTTTTTTTTATTTTGCATCCTCCAAAACGCCTGTAAAAAAATGTAAAGAAATTTAGGGAAAAAAAAATGTACATTTGACACAAAAAAATAAATAAATTGGAAGTGAAAAATTAGAAAGTGACCTGCTTAGTTTCCACTACTACTTCTGGCCCTTCTTCCATAAAACACCAATCTTCTTCAACATGTTTCCATTTTTCTTCTTTGGCGAGTCATCATCCATGTCTTCTGAGTACGGCGAGTCCATCGGGTTGTAGGCGCTGTCAAGGGACCCTGTCCTCTCGAC